TATTGAATATTTCACAAATACATTAAATTAATATCATTTTCATAATTTAATTTAGTGCTTCTAATTTTTCTAAAATATAATAAATAATTGTTTTGTAATATTATTGTTACATATTTTACGAAACTATGTTATCTGATACTGTTAATTCTTATACATATACTATCCGCTATACTACCCTAACTCTACTCTACTCTACTCGATTTATCGGACAGCATTGAGTTGTCATAAATCTTGAAAATACTAGATGCTTGTGCCTATCATATTTCTCGGCCCTAGTGAAACTAACTCGTACTTAATCCAACTCGAATTATCGTAAACAGCCATAATGGCTCCTGCACACAGAACGCGGTAACACTTGACACGCGGCGGAAGTTGTCTAGGGAATAACGCAGTAGCCAATTAATGTGCTGTTTTTCCGTAAGAGCTAGAAGGTTATTACGGAATATTGTATTGATTGGCTGTCGCACCAACATCGCGTGGCAAGCATTGCCGCGTTCTGTATGCAGGAGCTATAACAAGGGACGTTTTCGAACGTTCCCATGAAAGCCTCATTTTATTTTTTATCGCTTTCAAGCAAGAAACTGTTACACAAAGTTATTTTATTGACTACGGATTATTTAAAATATCTTCCGAGATAATAATAAAATAACTTTTTATAATACTTGTATAATACTTGTAAAATAACTTTGTATAATATTCTTGGGCTGGAAAACGGCCTTTATTGCCTTTACCGCTCGTTACAAAAAAAAGAATGAACCTGTACATTTGAAATTGGTCAAAGAGAAATCAGCGCGAGGTGTTTTTATATAGAATTCATAAGTAAACGACTAAAGATGAAATTGGTAATACAATCGTCTTTAATTGAGCAATAACGATAAAATTTACATATTAATTATCGTTTGATAATATTGAAATCTCTAATGCACAGAAGCATAACCTCTAAATGTATAAACATTTTAGGAATGAGATAGATATCTTTGAATAAAAAGAACGACAGATGACAATAATATCAAATGATAATAATGTAACATTATCTTAATATCGTTAAATATTTGATAATTTTATTAATAAATTGATTCTTTTTTCAATGTATTTTCAGTATTGTTTATCTAGTGAACCAACAAAACCATGTTTGGTTTTGAGCTTTAAAGGAATTACACTGATGCTAGACTGTGGCTTGAATATGCAATCCATTTTGCATTTTATGCCTCTGCCTATGGTTCCTAGTAGCAAGTTTAACTCATTACCGACATGGATTCCACGTGATAATCAGCAGGATTGGCAAATTGAAGGGGTTAGTATCGATATTCATTTCAATTGGATTTTTTGTATTCTTTCTACACTAAAAATGAAATAGATGTAAATATTTAGCCTTAGTAGAGTGTAAGAAGAAAGCAACAAAATATAAAAAAAAAAAATCCAATTACAAAAGATACAAGAAATATCATTAATCAAGAATTAAATATTTACGGTGTATATTCTGAATGATGTACAATCTGTTTATTTTAAGGAGTTGAAGGAATGCTGTGGTAGGATTTTTGTGGATTCAACTCCAGAGTTTTCTCCCCCTCTGGAAAAAATAATAGATTTTTCTGAGATTGATGCTATTTTAATATCTAATTATACTTGTATGCTTGCACTGCCATTTATAACAGAAGGCACTGGTTTCAAAGGTATTTTATATATATATATATATATGAGATTATATATATCGATATATATATATATATATATATATATATATATATATATATATATATATATA